GCACAGGCCGGTCGGGCTGGACCAGCTACCCACTTGGTGATTCCCCACATGGCCCTTCGGTGGCCCAGGCGGAGCCCAGCCTGAGCTCATTCGCTGCAGCTTTAAGGCAAGGCTGCAACTCCAGTTTGAAAAAGACACATGCACCCCTATGTTTATCGCAGCACTATTTACAATAGCCAAGAAATGGAAGCAACCTAAGTGTCCATCAGTAGATGAATGGATAAAGAACATGTGGTACATATACACAATGGAATATTACTCAGCTATAAGAAAGAAACAGATCCTACCATTTGCAACGACATGGATGGAGCTAGAGGGTATTATGCTCAGTGAAACAAGCCAGTCAGAGAGAGACAAGTACCAAATGATTTCACTCATATGTGGAGTATAAGAATAAAGAAAAACTGAAGGAACAAAACAGCAGCACAATCACAGAACCCAAGAATGGACCAGCAGTAACCAAAGGGAAAGGGACTGGGGATGATGGGTGGGAAGGGAGGGATAAGGGTGGGGAAAAAGAAAGAGGGCATTACGATTAGCATGTGTAGTGCGTGGGAGGCACGGGGAGGGCTGTGCAACACAGAGAAGACAAATAGTGATTTTGCAGCATCTTACTACGCAGATGGACAGTGACTGTGAAGGGGTATGTAGGGGGGACTTGGTGAAGGGGGGAGCCTAGTAAGCATAATGTTCTTTGTGTAATTGTAGATTAATGACACCAAAAAAAAAAAAAAACAAGGCTGCAGAGGCCAGTGGATTGGGTGGGGGACCCTGGAAGAACCACGCCAAACCTGCTACAGGACAGCACCCTTCCCAGGCTGCTTGCCACCCACCATGCTTCCCTCCACCGTGGTAATGAGTAACTAAACTCCTTAGTGTTCACTCCGCTCCAGATGTCACCTGCAACCACCCCATGCCGGAGGGGCTGGTTTAGTCCAATTTTACAGATGAGCAAACCGAGGCATGGAGCAATGCAGTCACCTGCCAGAGGTTGCACAGCTGGTAAAATGGGTGGGGCAGGAAGCTGAAATGTTGCCATGCCAGCATGGAGCATTTGCAACCTGCCCAGGCTCCTGAGCCCCCACCACGGCCCAAAGAAGCAGGGCAGCTAGCTGTGCCCATTTATCAGATGGGGCAGCTGAGGCCCAGGTGGACAGTGTCCCAGGGAATGAGCAGAGGGGCTGGGGTCCCAAATAGAACATGAACAGAGGCGACATGCTACCCTGAGCCTCATTCCTTCAGGCAGAAGGTGTCTGTCGGCAGGGAGAGGGTGTCTGTCCTTGTTGGCCGTGGATACCTGGTTGCAGCTGTACCTGAGCTCCAGCTCCAAGCCCTGCCTGCTTGCTCCACATGCGGCATCTCTGGTCTGCTGGGCCACCCTTCAAGGAGGGCACCTGCAACCCAGGGCTCGAGAGCCTTGTGCCTGGGACTCCAGAGCCTATTCTGTTCTCAAGCCGCAGTCTCAGAGGGTATAGGAGGCAGGGAACCAGACAGAGGCTGAAGGGAGAGGCCGAGACCTCTGCAATCAGGGCATGTCTGTCTGAAGCCTCCATGGAGGGCTGCTGCTTTGGACAGTGCGTTTCTGTTCCCCTTTCTGACTTGGGGGCCAGGAAGGGCTGGGCCTTCTTCAGCTGAGGAGATGAGTTCAAGGCTGGTCATGCTTCCTTTCTTGTCCACTGAGGTTCAAAAAGACCACGTGGCTCGCTCCCGTGCCACGGTGAGCGAGGCAGGGCTGGGGGAAGGTCCAAGGTGGGAAACTGCCCTCAGGAGGAAGGGACAACTGAACTGGATTTTGCAGGATGAATAGGAGTTTTCCAGACAGCCATAGAAGGTGTGTAAACCCTGTGAGGGCAGATACCTTGCCCGCTTTCCCCACCATTTTCTGTCCTCAGCACCCAGCACAAGGCAGCATGTATCAGATGGACATTCTAGGCAGAGGCCAGCATTCGTAAAAGCTGGGGTGTGTGAAATCACATGGTGGGGCGGGAGCGGAGAGCATCAGTCAGTGAATGAACGTTGAGGTTGGGGCATCGCAGAGGTCTGGCTCTTGCATGTTCTCCCTCATCTCCTGAGCTCAGCATGACTTGTAAACACCCCAACGTGGGTGCCCTCAGAGGTGGGGGGAGCACGTGGGGCCGGCAGTCCAGCCTCCTGGAATCTGCCTGCAACTCTGCCAGTGGGTGGGTGGGTCCAGGAATGCCAAGCTGGGCATGTGCCCCAGTGCCCCAGTGGGTGCAGGGGGTCTAGCCAGCCTCTCCTGTCAGTGAAAATGACATAAACCGAGAAAAGGAGACAAAGCTTTTATTTGCTTTGCAAGAACAAAGGGCTTTATTTGGGGTCTCAGATTTGCAATTCAGGGAGCACGGGTCCCACACGTGGGGAGAGCGTGAGGGGCTTTGATGAGAAGATGGAAGGGGGGGTCATTAAGACGACTCCTGGCGGGCATTGGTTACGACGCCCCGCGGGTTCTAAGGTCGGACGTCAGCTGTCCCGTTGATGATGTAGAGGGAACTGCTTGTCAAGGCCTTTTTGCCCAATTCAGAAGTTGATGAGCCATTTGTTGCAGAGAGGAAAACAGCTTTTCTCCCAAAGAAGCCTCAGGTCCAGGATTCTTACACAATTCCACAATGTCCCCTTTGGATAGAGATTTCTTTCTTCATCTTCTTCTTTTTCTTAAGGAAAAAACAGCACAGATCAACCTGGGGCCCACGGAGCTTTAAGCAGGGTCGGTGGCGACCAGGTGGGCCCAGTTAAACATTCAGAATTAACAGGTTTGCACATTGTTTCAGTGCGGGGTGCTGTGAGAGGCTCGGTAAGGCCAGCCGGCACCGTAGCTCTTCATGAGTTAAAGAAAAAAACAGTTCAAGGCTTATTTTTATCGAAATCATAAGCCTTAGACATCACGTCAAAGCATCGGGCTAGCATGATGTTCGAGGGTATGTCAGTTCTGTAAGAATGGGATACGTGACAAGCCCAGATTATAAAGCATAATGACAAAGCAGGGTGATGCGCCTGATTAGTAAGACGGTTTTAAAGTGAACCCCGTAATCCGTTATTAGGGCTCCTGGGCCCCGGGGTCGGTTGCCTGGGGCATCCACCTGTTTCCTGCGGAGTCAGGGTGCCCTGCCGTGGTGCCCTGGGTGTGAGGCCACAGCATCCTGCTGGGGTTCCCCCGGTGAAGCAGTGGTACCGTCTAAGGCCATTCTGTCTGGAGGACAGCTTTTCTCCTTAGAGACCTTTCAGCATTCAGCAGGGACAGGCTTTTGCTGATTATCCTTTAAATTTAGGAAGGGCTTCTGCGTGCCCTACATCAGAAAACAGAATGATCTTTCCCATGTGTCTAGGCAGAGCCCGGGGTGCCACGGCCTAACCGTCCGGGGGAAATAATGGGCAAAGATTGGTGCCGCGTCACCCCTGAGTCCCATTCGGGGCTGCCCGGTAAACACCCGGCTGGCACGACCAATTGGTACCTAACCAGTCACATTCCTTTTAGTGTCACGGAATGCTCACACGGATCCAGGGAGATGCGCCCCAAGTCCCAGGTGTAACTGGGTCGGTTCTATTCACAGTGATCTCCTTATTTCCAAGATGGGGGTGCCCTGGGGGCTCCACGGCCCACAGCCCCGGGTAAACCACATGAATCCCTCCTGAATCTGGGGATCGCCACCCACGGCTCCGACAGCGATGTTTTTAAGATTTGCTTTATGTTTGGTTAACAAGTGGATGGGCTACCTGTGTAGTTTGGTCGGCAGAAAAAGATGGCGCCATGTCACCCATGGGGGTGTCACGGGCCAGGTGTCGGGGTCACGTCCGCAATGTCAGATGCACTAAGGGTGCCACGCTCAGCTTGCCCTTCCTGAGTGTGCTGCTTCAGGGCCCTCCATGTCCCCACCGAGGGGTGGCACCCACCCCGCTAATCCCCACGAGCGAGGGACAGAGGCTCTCCACATACCCAACAGTCTGGTTGTCCTTCTTCAGGAAGGACAGACTGCCAGGCAGGCATTAGACCTTTCTTCACATCAGAAACAGGATGCCAAGAGGCCACACCTTAGAGTTTAACTGTGGGAGGATTTGGCCCGAGTCCCTGGGAAGGTCCTGTCCACGAAGCACCTGTAAGAAGACGTCTTTTCCAACAAGCAAAATCTCCAGGTTGGAGAGCGTGACTTAGGGTGCCTTGTCTTCGGAGGGTGCTGTGGGAAGGTTTCTCCCCCAGGCCTGTGTTTTTCTTTAAGATCCTTATTCCCCTGCCATATCCAAACATTCCTCCTTCCTTAATTAGGGAAGGTTTGTGTATTCCTGAACTTGTCTTATAAAGACCTCCTGGGTATGATCTCTAAAGACAGCACTTTATTTTCCGGAATTAAGCGACATGATCATTAGTGCCTTAGGCTCAATTGAGTTCAAGGCTTCTGTCAATTTAGCTAATTGGGTTTTAATTATACCATTTACTCTTTCTACCCATCCTGATGACTGCAGGTGGCAGGCGCGATGGAATCGCTGTAAAATGGCCCCACGACAGGTTATCTTAATTCCGTGCCTGGTAAAATGAGTCCCTTCGCTGCTGTGCAACAGCTGGGATTCTCCAGTGGGGAATAATTTTTTTCAAATCTCCCCTTGGCTACCTCTGATGCGGTGGCCCCGAGGCAAGGGGAAGCTTCCACCCAGCGGGACTACATCGCTACTGACGCACATTCATAACCCTGGGAGGGTGGAAGCGGATTCCATCCAGCCGCCACAGCTCGGCGGGTCCTGGAGGCGCTTGGAAGGGCCCCGTGGAGCTGGGCATGGGCTCCCGGGGTGACGGTTTGGACAGATTGGGCTGATGGATGTCAAGGGTAGCTATCATTTTGTCTGTGCCCCCCTGTGGGTCATTTTGTGAACAAATTCTAGAACCAGTTTTCTGTGCACCATCAGTCAGTCCATTTGGCCACAGCAAAGAGGGATATTTGAGTCAAATTTGCAATTTGATCCTGACCATGTATCCCTTCTTTTTCTTAAAGGTGCCCTTCTGTGGAGGGTTCCTAGTCATTTGTTTACCATCCCCACTAGTGGTCAACATTAAATTCAAGATGGAATGGCTTCGTCGCACCAGCAGCCTTCGCAGCCGCATCTGCCATGTGCTCACCTGCATTTTCCTCTGTGCTTGTTACAGAGTGGCTGGGAATGTTAATTCTAGCTAATGATTTTGGTAGTAAAATAGAGTCTCATGGGCCTAACATACAAGGGCTATTGTTAATGTTTTGGCCCCAGGAAGTTAAATTAAAAAGGTAGTTTCATGATTAATTTTTGTCCGTGTCAGGGTATCAGTCAAAAGATTTTTCTGACCTATCCTAACACAAAAACAGTTTCATTATTTGGCCGTGGAGAACGTTATAGCATTTTCCTCCAATTCCTAGTCTTTGGAAAAACCTCAGGGATGGTTTTATGGAATTCTTTGACTAGCTTAAAGGCTTTGGTTTGATCCATAGCTTTTCACACAGAAAAATCACCAAAAGGCTTTGCCTGGCCCACTTTCTCCTTCCACTCCCTGCATGAGCTTGACGGACATGGAGAAGTTTATAAGGGATAAGAATAATGGCTCACAGATTGGAATAACTGAAGTGAATTCCTTAGTGAGTCCTAGAGGGTCTTTAAGGGCATTGGGAAAGGTCCTTGGTCCAAGGCGTGTAAGTAACGGAGCAGATCTGGGCGGCTGGAGGGTCAGGGGAGCCTCTGGGTTGTCATTACGGATCAGAAGTTCAGCTAAACGAGGATGCATAAGTGGAGAGGAGGGAGGGAAGGCGGAGAAGGGTCAGGAGCTCTGTATGCAGCCCAGAAGTCTCAGAAAGTCTTTCTAGTTCACATAGTCTCTAAGAGAGGTCAGCGTGAGTGTTAGAAAGTTTTGAGTCATTTTCTCATAAGGCAGCAAACTTAGAGTCCTAGTCCTTGAGCATCTTGGTGGCCTCCGAACACCAACCGAAATGTGCTTTCCATTCAGGTTGCTTGGCTTACCCTTCTGTTTCCAGTTATGCTCACAAACAAACGGATCTGGGGATCTCAGAGTGGCCGCAGTGATGACCGGTCATGCTGTGCTTGGTCACAGGGTCCCAAGGAGACAGAAACTGATAAGAATTGGACCTGTCATGTTCCCACATGGAACTCAGCTGGGGTTCTGGGACAGGGGCCACTCTCAGGAAGGGTTCGAAACCAAAGACCCCTGCGTGCCCATCAGACAGAAAACTGTAGTTCTCAGTAATTTGCACAGGTGGACAGAATCCAGCACCAGAAAGACACCTGAAGAAAACTAGCTTCGAACCTCAGCCTAAGAGAGGAAGGTCCAGAAGCGAGGAGCCTCACCCCCAGAACCCAGGGCCTTCAGGGGAGCCGGGCTCACAGCAGGAACTGTGCCGAAGCCGGGGGAGGCTCCGGGGTCAGGGTATTTCAGGGTATTGCTTTGCTTCCGATCCGTGCCCTTCTGTCACCATAAACATGCCAAGCAAGAAAGAATCGAGGCTGCCAGGCAAAGCCGAAGTTTATTTGGGGGGTTCAGGAATTTGATCCCGGGAGACATACCAGGAAGAACCCGGGGGAGGGGAGGAAGACACAGGTTATAAAGGCAAAGGCCACAGCTTCTCACTTAAGTTGTTTGGAAAGAATTATGGTTAACAGGCAATAACTCACATGGGCCTGTATAGGATAGGTTACTATGTTAGTTGCTACTCTGGGAGTCAGTGAAATAAGCCCCATTCTGAGAACTGCAACAAGATGTGGGCGTTTGTGGCCGACAGTGTCCACAAGTTCGCGCTCCATCTAGGTGTGGGCGTGCGTAAGACCGACTTCCCCAGTGGCTTCACTGTAGGGCCCCCTGGTGTTCCTGACCCCGTTTCAGATGTTGCTGTTCACATTTTCCCCTTTTGGTTGAGACCTTTTCTGTGGAAAGACCAACTGTTTAGGGTTAGAGTTGTCAGAAATGTTTGGTGCCTTCTCACCAGGAAAGCTCATTCTGGGGGTGTCAAATCCTCTGTCATGGGGGAAAGGGTGTCATTTGAGTAGGAGTACTGTTCATCGGGCCGCAGCCACATGTGAGCAACGGGGATTCTGCGGGGTGGACAGAGGTGTCTTCAATGAGGATCTCAGCGGAAGCGAGCTGACGTTCATTCAAAATGGAAAGCGTGGTCCGTCACCCCTAGTCTTTGGGCAGTCCCCTGAGTCCCGACAGAAGACGTGAGGCATTGGGTTAAGGGAAGCATCAGCAGGTTGACAGTGCTGACTCTAGAACAGATTAGAACAATATAAGTCAGATCATTTCTGCGCAGATCTCAGACTGGTCCCGATTCTGCCCGTGAGTCAACTTAAAAATATCTGGGAGTCTGCTATTGAACCAATCAAAAGTCTCAGATGGTGGGATTCCCTTTAGAGATTTGCCGAGCTTCAAAACCTCAGCCATTTCTAATTCTGTTTGATGGGAAGTATTTATCCCCGCACAGCAAGTACTACCAGTGGTGCAGGCTCCACGTCGGACAGCAAACGGACAATCTAGTGTCACACAATTCGGTTATCAAGAACAACATGAGCCGAAGCATACCGAGATGGGCTCTGGGCTCTGTGGGTCAGGCTGTGGACATGGTGCGTCTCCTGGCAGTGCGGGAGAGATGTCTGATCATGGATTCATTCCACATCATCTCTACTCCCCATGGTTAGGGTCGATTTCTCCCGGGAGGTCACAGTCTTGAGAATACGGGGTTTTTTATCTTTATCTTTAGAGGGGCCATCTTCTGGACAGTCGCGTATAATGCAGAGACTGCTTTCTGTTCTGTGATTAGTTCTCCAGCCGTCTCCTTAGGAATTAACGTAAGAGGAACAGGGGGATTTAGAGGCCTCAGAGGTTCTGTCCTGCTGTTCCCCACGCAGTCATAGCCGATCTCCCACAGCCAGGAGTGGGCTGAAAACGGCATCCCCAGCCATCAGCAAGGTGGCCAGAGCTCTCTCTGGCTTGGATATTCTATTTGCGGTGTCTCCCCATCATTGAGTCCCTCTAACTTGGTAATAAAAAACAGGATCAGAAAGTATTTCATGTTTGAAAGCCAGTTCAACTCAGGCAGCCAAAATCACTGGGTATAAGAAATAGGATTAACAAGGTGGCTAAAATGCTTATGCCAAGGAGGATTGTTCCAAATATTTCATGTATTTCAGGCATGAGGGTCTGTGGTGAGGTCGTGCGGGCGTGTCTTCTTGGGAGAGCTGTCTGCTTCCGGTGCCATCTGCTGCCCACCCAGGCTGTCGGCTCTGGGTATTTGACGTCTGAGATCGGCAGTGGGGTGGGAGGTCCAGTCAGGGGAGGGTGACTTTTTCTTTAAATAAAAAATGGGAATCCATGAGTCAGTCATGCCTTTACGATTCGCAGCAATATGGTAAGTGATACGGATTTTCCAACAGGACTGAAGGCCGCCTCTGTGCAGGTAACGTTTCCAATGAACAAAATCTCCAGGTTGCAGGTTGTGGTGTTGAAGACCTGGCACCTCCAAGCAGCGTGCTGTGAAAAGATGTCTCGATGAGCTTTGCCTTATTTTTAAGGGCTCTTATAAGTTCTTCACAATAGGTCAGGAGGTCTCTGTTCAGTAGGGCAGATTCTTAAATTTCTTTGTCCAGACTCACAGGTATACCAGGAATGGTTTCAAAGAGAGACGAGTCATGTTTGCCAAGGACAGTTTTACTGGAGTTTCAGTCACCCCTTTTGTCCCTTCTGCAAGGCCAGGGGACTGTGGTCTATGTGCGTAATGGAAGTATGTAGCATGGGCCAAGCCTCACATGCCTGTTGTGGAATCTGTCCCGTGCGGTGGGTTTCCCGGATGCCACGGAGGCTAGCGGGCTTTCCTCATGTCGGCAAAATTGTTTCGAAAAGCCTTTCCGTGGCTGCTGAGGCCACAGCCCATCAACATCGGAATGCTTCTACTCAGCGAGAGAACACGTAAGCCCTCACCAGTCTGTACTCACATCCTCGAGAAGGAGCGATTGGGTGACATCTATTTGTCAAACCCCAAAAGGCCCTCTCCCACCGGCGTCCAGGGAGGGCGGCCGCTGCTCATCCCTTCCCTGACGCCTGCACGCTGTGGGCGCCGTGGTGTAGTCCGAGGGCTGTTCCTCCCTCTGTACGGTTCCTGAAGGATTCATCCACTCTCAGGGTGCAGACCTCAGCCCTACCCCAAAGAGTCCTGCCCGGGTCTTCCCGCACCTCACCCCAGCCCGACACCTGAGTAGCTTCCACCTCCTCCAGGTGTCCACCGGGACATCTGAGAAGGGAGCCTTCAGCCCAGCACTCGAGTCTGCATGGAAGGACACGACTTAGACACTCAACGCAGATTCCCCGGACTGGTCCTTACGTGACCACCTGAGAATGTTCCTTGGGAACCAAGGGGTAGACGAAACTTTTGAAGAAGAATCCCTGCTCAGGCCAGCTCCGGAGCATGAGGGGTACATCCCATTTCTCCAAGACCTCAGAGGTTTTGTCAAGAGCTGGGAGAGCAGACAAGACGTGAATCCCTTCATTTTATGGCAGGCTTCAGCTGCTCCACGAAAACCAATCTGAAGCCAGAATATTATCCTAATATTGTTCATTCTAGTATCATGGAAGGCGATTCAAATTTAAGTTATTTCTGTCTCCCTTATTTTTCACCTGATTCCCCTCTACAAATCCTTTCTAGATTTTTCTATAACAGAATGGTGGACAATAAAATTGACTTATCTCCCCCAAAAAAAGACAAGCAGGTCCCCAGACGTTTGTCTTGATCAACACAGAGGCCGACTCCGCCCAGAAAGCCTGTTGACCCAGTTTCCCCAGACTCGGAGAATTTTCCTCTGTTCTCTGACTTGTGATATTGTGGTCTAAAACGAGAAATGTATATTTGGTCTTTGTCCCCATTCCTGGCACTGAGCTCCTAAACCTGTTGGAATTTTCTGTGCTGAAAACAATAAAGGTGTCTTTTGTTACTTCAGTGAAGTGACTTAGGAAAGCGTCTGTGTAGCCTGAGGCTGGGGGCTGGGGGCCCCGACCGGACCTTGTGATTAGAGGGCTGGAGCTTCAGTCCCCCCCCCCACCCCCCCCATTCCTTGACCTCTGGGGAGGGGAGAAGGGCTGGAGGTGGAAGTGATCACCAGGGGGCAGTTATTTAATCAAGCCTCCTGAGAACTGAGGCTTCCATAGGAACCCAAAAGGGTGGGGGTTCGGAGAGCTTCCGGGTCGGTGAGCGCCCGCAGGGCAAGGAAGCCCCAGCCCCTGCCCCACTGCTGGCCCCCATGCATCACCTCTTCCGTGTGGCTGTTCCTGAGTTACAGCCTCTTTTAATAAACCCGAGGTCTAGCATGCAAACTGTTTCGGAGTTCTGAGAGCCACTCTAACAAGTTACTTGAACACAAGGAGGGGGCCGTGGGAACCTCTTCTGTAGCTGGTCGTTCAGAAGCACAGGTGACCCCCCGGACTTGGGTTGGCGGTTGAAAGTCGGGGGTATAGTCCCGTAGGTCTGCCTCCTCAACCTGTGGGACCTGACACCCTCTCCAGGCAGACAGTGTCCGAATGGAGGTGAATCGCAGGACCTCCAGCTGGTGGTGCACTGCGTGGTAAAGCCACGTCAGTGGACGTCCCCAGCCAGAACAGGAGGCAGAAGAGTCCAGGCCTCGGTGACCCTCGCAGCCCCCCCAGCCCCTCCCCACTCCCAGGAGCCACTATCTCCTGATGTCTGGCCACGTGGAAGGTGGGCTGATTCCTCCCTAAAGATGGCCATGGAACTGGGGGTCTGCGGCTCCCCTGGCAGTTGAGCCGGAGGTGGAATTAAGGCTGCTAATGAGCTGACCGTGAGGTGGGAGAATGACCTTGAAATGGGGGATGATCCCGGAGTATCTGGGTGGGCCCAAAGCCATCACAAGGGTCCTTCCAGGAGGGACAGAGAGATTTGAAGACGGCTACGCAGCCGGCTTTGAAGACAGGAAGGAATGCAGGTGGCCGCTGGAGGCTGTAAATGCCAGAGGCAGATATTTCCCTGGTGCCTCCGGAAGGATGGCAGCCCAGATTTCAGCCCAGGGAGACCCATTTCAGACTGCTGGCCCCCAGAACTGTGAGGAAATTAATCTGTATTGTTTTAAACCACCAAATGTGTGGCAGCCTGCTGGAGGGGTGAATCTCAAAAGCATCGCATGGAGAGAAGGCTAAGCATGAAGACAGACTGTGTGTGTGATGCCATTTAAATGAAGTTGGAAGAGGCATAACTACTCCGTGCTGGGAACAGTCGGCACCGAGGGTACCTGTGGGTGGTGGAGGTGGAGTCTCGCCTGGAGGGGGCACGAGAGACGTGTGTGGCAGGTCACATTACGTGTCCAAGTCCAGCGACTGGACACTGAAGATTTACACATTTTGCTCTAGTGAATTTTACCTTGAAAGAAAAGATCATACGCAAATATTGAACTCTCGTTAATGATGTTCACACTGAACTATTTAGTGGGGCTGGACTGGGATGTGGCATCACGTCTGCTGCTTATTTTGAAACGCATCCAGAAGTATCAGATGAGCTCACAGGTGGCTGGGGGCAGTGGATGGTCACACGGGCAGATGTGTAATAGAGCGGAAGGAGGGGGAAGCGAATGGTGGAGTCTCGTGGTGGGTGTACAGGCGTCCACCGTAAATTCTTTCAGTTCTTCTGTACGCTTTTAAATTTCTCACCATAAATGTCGGGAGAAATCACCCAGGTTCTTCCCTGTAGCCCACATGACTGCCCCGTCCCCTCCCTGCCCTCCGCTCCTTCCTCTGTCCCTCTCCTCACCCTCACGGACTGTGCTCCTCGCAGCTCCTCCCACACGCCAGGCACGGTCCTGCCCCAGGGCCTTTGCATCTGCTGCTTATTTCTCTGGAAAGCCTCTCCCCACCACCACTATGCGCTTCTGCATAAACCCTCCTCGTGTTCAGGTCTGAGCTCAGATGGTATCTCCTTAGAGAGACCCTCCCGGGTCACCTCATTTAACATCACACCGTCCTGTTTATTTTCAACCGCGCTGCATCACTGTTACCTCATTTATTTATGAATCTGTTTACTTGTGAATTGGCTGCCTTCTCTGCTGGGCTGTAAGGTCCATGGGGACAGGAATGTGTCTACTTGTTCTTTGCTGGGTGCCCAACACCCAGCCCCAGGCTGGCATATATAAGATGGAGAATATGTGGATGAGTAGATGAATGGACAGGTAGGCCCATGGGTGGATGGGTGGATGGATGGATGGATAGATGGGTGGGTGGGTGGGTGGGTGGACAGACAGATGGATGGATGACAGATGAGTAGATGAGACAGATATGACAGGTGAGTGGGCAATGGATAGGTGGGTGAATGGCTGAACAAACATTCCAAGTGGGGTCTAGTGTGGGGGTCTGGGCCACTTGCTTAAGATCTTGGGAAAGGGGGATGCTGTTTAAGCTCTCCAAGTTGGCTGGTGGAAAGAAAGCTCACCTTGCCAGTTGCTCAGTCACCTGGTAGGTTCTTTTGACAGGCTCTGGGATAGCGAGTGAGCCGACATCCACACCTCAAGGCGAGTCTGCGAAAGGGCCAGTGAGGGAATTGCAGATTTCCATAGGTTCTTTGTCTTTGGGCTATACCTTCCGGCAATGGCAGGAAACCTTCCCAGACATTTGAGAACTGGTGTTGAAGACCCCAGTCAGCCACCCCTTGACTTCTGGCCATCGTGTTTGCTTCTGTGAAGTGCAAAGTAATAACCGTTGCCAGGTGCTGTGTTGTTAAGGGGCAGCGGGGACTGGGCAGAGCAGTTGGTGAGCCTTACCAGCCTGGGCTGAGAGGTGGCTATCCCTTTCACAGATGAAATTGGGGTTCAGAGAGGTCAGGTCATTTGTCTGAGGACACACAGGCTAAGTCTGTCCCTGACAGGCTATAAAGAACTGGAGGCTGTAGGCGCTTGGGGTCAAGGGTGGGGTAGGGGTCCCCTTCTGCACCCACGCTGTGGGCTGAGCTCTGCCCTGACTGCAATGTGTCCCCAGGATGTGGTCCAGCATCAGCGAGTGGTTCTGGCAGGACAGGTTCTGGCTGCCACCCAACAGCTCGTGGGCTGACCTGGAGGACCAGCATGGCCTGGTGTACGCCCACCCCCGGGACATGCTGGCGGCCCTGCCCCTGGCACTGGCCCTGGTGGCCGTGCGCTTCACCTTCGAGAGGTGAGTATGTGCCGGGCCATGCACGTGGATGTGTGCACGGCTTTGTCCTCCTTTGTCTCTGGATGGAGTCTGGCACGAGCCGAAGTGCTTTTCCGGGCCCCATCCTGCCCCCAGCTGCCGCCACCCCTGCTTGTACGTCTCTGATGGCTGGTCTGTGAGAACAGTGCCTTCAGTGGGCCCTGGGGGCATATGCCTGCTCTGCTGACCAAGGACAGGTCTGTGGGGGCCAGGCACTGAGCGAACAAATGCCACCCCATCCCTCCTCCCCATCCCCACTCCTGGCTCCCTCTGACACCGTCCCCACTCCGTCCCCACTCCATCAAAGTAACTGGCATGGACTCCAGCCTCATGGACTCCAGCCTCATGCCGCCTCCTGGCGGCCAGACCCTGGGGACTTCCTGTCCTGTCTCCTGAGACCCGGCCACTGCTCAGAACTGGGTTTCCTCCCCTTTCCCTCTCTGCCTGTCTCTGGGCTTGGGCATCTCACCTGGGATACCCTCTCTGTCTTGCCTTTGCCCCTGTTGACCGACACTGTGGTTCCAGTTACCTTTCTGGCCAGACCCCCACCCGCCCTTCCCCATGACCTGCCCTACCCCTCTCGAAGCCCCTTGACCCCCTCCAGCCCCAACTTAGGGTCTCTCCCTCTGTCCCACCCTGACCACAGGGACCTGGGAGATTTCTGCGTTCGGCTTTGTCTCTTCCCCAGCCACGAGGAGCTTCCTGCTGTCTGAGCTCCCCCCGGACACAGGCTGGATACCAGGAACCTGGCAGTGCCCATTGAGGTGTTTGTTTAACACCGTTTGAGTGCCTAGTCTGCCAGCTGTTGTACTCGGCAGTTCATGTGTCTTAACCCTCAGTGCAGTACCGTTATTATCCCCATTTTACAGAAGTGGAAAGGGAAGCACAGAGAGGTTAAGAGACCTGCCTGAGGTCACACAGCTGGTAGGTCAGCAGGGACTGAGGCTTTGCCTGAGGGATTCCAGGAAGCCCAGTTCCGCCAGGCCTTGAAGGGTGAGGCTCTTTCCCTGCAGGTGGCTGGGACGGTGCCCAGGTTCAGTACCAGGCATATTTATTTAACTGATGGCCTCCTCTGAGATGGGGTGCCACCACGTCCCAAAGGCATTCCCTTCAGAGGGCCAGTGGGGGTGGGCGGAGCTTTTCCTTTGTTAAAGGAAAGTGAATCCTGGGTTTGAATTCTGGGTTGCCACTCACTCGCCGTGCCACCTTGGGTATATCTCTGACCTCTCTGAGCCTTAGTTTACCTGTCAGGGCAGTGGGGATGGTGATAATAGGGTCAGGTGAGCCAGTACATTACGTGGGCTTGGACCCATGCGTGGTAGATCGAAAGCTCCTGGTAAACAGTGCCCTGCTCCCCAACCCCCATCAGCTCTTGAACCTCAGTTTCCCCAATTAAGGGTGGCGTTGGGACCGTAACTCTGAAATCCAGTCCTGACCCTGGCCTTGGGGGCCCCCTAGTGGGCAGTATGGACACCGACCTGGGGCTGGGCTCCATGCGGCAGCCCTGGATGGGGGACGCTGGGAGGAGGGAGGCCTGATGGAGAGCCCCACCCCCGCGGAGGGGCAGGCCAGCACCCCGGCAGTGAGCGGATTGAGTGAAGGTATCTGGGTATCCCACAAGTTGACCTTCACACCCCACCCCGGAGACCGGGCCAACTGCCAGTCTGAGGTTTGGCCTGTCAGGGTCCCAGGATGTGAGCTGGCCCGCGAGCCTCGGGTTCCCCACCGGGGCTGACAGGCCGTGTCTCCCTGCACCCAGGTTTGTGGGCCGGCCCCTCAGCCGGTGGCTGGGTGTGCGGAGTCAGGCCAGGAGGCCCGTGAGGCCCAACGCCACCCTGGAGAAGCACTTCCTCCAGGAAGGGTGGAGACCCGAGGAGGTGAGAGCCCCCTGCGCCCCTCCCGCACCCCCATCAGCCTGCTTGGCCCTCCCGTGAGCTGAGCTGGGGTCTCATAAGGCCTGCTCTGGGGTCGTGAACCCCGCCACCCCCATCCGTAGGCAGGCAACCCCGCAGGTGAGGCATGGGGCTGCAGGGGGAGGGGGCCCGGGGTCCGTCCTGTCCTGAGACGGAGCAGGAAGCCACCTCGCTGACCCCGGCGCCCGTGACCCTCCCCAGCCCCAGATGGCCCTCCTAGCCGCCCAGTGCGGCCTCACGCTGCGGCAGACACAGCGCTGGTTCCGGAGACGCCGGAACCTGGACCGGCCCTGCCTGACCAAGAAGTTCTGTGAGGCCAGGTGAGCCCAGGGTGGGGCCGGGAGCGGGTGTCTGGGGGCGGGCGGCGGGGGTCTGCCTGTTCGCCAGCCGCTCACGGGGCCCCGCCCCTTCTCTAGTTGGAGGTTCGCCTTCTATCTGTGCTCCTTCCTCTGCGGCCTCTCTCTGCTGTACCACGTGAGTGTCCCTGTCCCACCTACTCTGCGGGCCCCCACTGCGCACCGGCCTGGGTCCAGCAGGTGGAGGGTTGAGGGCGGAGGGGAAAACACGGGAGAGGAGAGGGCTGGACGCCCAGGGAAGACAGATGTGCGCCAGAGCCACTGGCCGGACTGAGCGCTGCCCCAGAGGCCCCCGGCCTGGGGTGGGGGCTGGGCTCCCCACTTCCGGCAGCCTCAGACTCCCGTGTCCCCGCAGGAGTCATGGCTGTGGACGCCGGCACTGTGCTGGGACAGTTACCCAAAGCAGGTGAGTGGCAGGGGGCCCGGAGGCTGGGGGGAGGGTTGGCTGGTCGGGGGTCCCGTGGCCACAGGCGGGACAGCCAGACCCAGGCGACTTGCCGTCATTCCGAGCCCGTCTCCAGTCCTGCCTGCCCTGCGGGATGCGGAGGGGCCGGGAGTTGGGGAACCCGGAGCAGGAGCTGCTGCAAAACCACTGCCCTTGATTACCTGCAGGGATGGGGAGCTCATGCCTCCTTCACTCAGGGGGATTCAGAGGTCCTGGTTTGGGGCAATCAGTAAGGGCCCCGAGCCACTCCCCTGCCCCGGAGGAGCCTCCCCCGCCCACAGCTAACCTTTCCCCACCCGCCGCAGCCCCTGAAGCCGGCCCTGTACTGCTACTATCTCCTGGAGTTGAGTTTCTACATCTCACTGCTGATGACACTGCCCTTCGATATCAAGCGCAAGGTGAGGCCACGCTGGGGTCCTGCTGGGGCCCCAGAGCAGGCGGCGCGGAGTCCACGGGGTCCGGACGCCAGCCGGGGCCCCAGCCGGGTCTGAGCTGTGAGCCGGCTTCTCCCGCAGGACTTCAGGGAGCAGTTGGTGCACCACTTCGTGGCCATCACCCTGATCACCTTCTCCTACTGCTCAAACCTGCTGCGCATCGGCTCGCTGGTTCTGCTGCTGCACGACTCCTCCGACTACCTGCTGGAGGTGCGCTGGCCCCTGGCACCTCCCAGCAGCCCTGCCCCTCCGCTTCCCGGGAGGGAGGCCCCGCCCCCTCCGCTTCCCGCGAGGTGAGGCCCCGCCCCCTGGCTCCCAAGGAGATGAAGCTTCTCGTAGTCAGACTTTTCTGCCTTTCTAGGCCGTTCCTGGAGATAAGTTTCTGCCCCACTTACAGGGCCCGGCCTCATGGGGCCTTCCCTTGAAATGGGACCCTTCCTGCATGCTACCTGCCACCAAGAGTCCATTTCTCTCTGCCTCCCTCCCCAGGCCTGTAAGATGTTCAATTACACGCACCGGCGACATATATGCGACGCTCTCTTTGTCATCTTCTCCTTGGTGTTCTTGTACACTCGCCTCGTGCTCTTCCCCACCCAGTGAGTCAGCCCTGCCGTGGGAGTCGGGGTGGGTGGAAGGGCCTGCCTGAAATCCCGACTGACTCACAACATTACCCTGCCACCCAGGGCACTGGGGGTTGTTGGCTGGGAGGCTTCCAGGAGGAGGCAAGGAAGGGTGTCCCCAGCACAGGTCACAGCATATGCAAAGGCCCTGGGGCAGCACCCTGGTGTAGGACCTCGTGGGCCCTGTGGAGGACTGGGCTCTGACCCAGAGGGAGGTGGGAGTCTGAATGGCTGTGGATTCACCTGACTTGGGTGCTCACCGGCCCTCTCTGGTGGCTGCGGGGAGAACAGTTGGTGAGAGGCCGAACTGGAGCTGGGGGCAGGGCAGAGACCACTCTGAGGTTCCAGGTGGTCAGGGACGGAGCTGGACCGGGACAGGTGAGGGGAGTGAGTGAACTCGGGGCGGAAGGTGACACCAGGGTCAGAAGATGGGAATGAGCTCAGAGTTGCTGGAGCCACAGGACTGGATGGTGTCACCTGGGGCCCAGTCCTGGGCACCCCCCCCTGGTGTTTGGAGGGTCAGCAGGAACTTGCAAAGGAGATGAAGAAGGAGCAGCCATGACACAGGGAGATGGGGGTGTGGGTGCCTGCTGCCCGAGCAGGGCCAGTCACCAGTGACCCTGCAGCAGATCTGCGTGAGGGAGCTGGGTGGGGAGGGGTTCTGAGAAGAAGGAAAGGTGTGAAAGGACCACACTGGGACATTTAGTAAGCTTGTGCATTCTACTACTTGAATAAACCAGGTACAAGGGGGCACTGGGGAGCCATAGAAGGTTCTGCAGCAGGGATGGTCATACAGGCTAGAGATTCTGGGACTGGGCTGCAGCAGCCGGCGAGGCCCCCCTCTCCCGCCTGCCACAGGATCCTGTACACCACGTTCTTCGAGTCCATCGCTGAGTCAGGCCCCTTCTTTGGCTACTACTTCTTCAACGCACTCTTGGCAACGCTGCAGCTGCTGCACGTCTTCTGGTCCTACCTCGTCCTTCGCATGATCTGCAACTTCGCCATAAAAGGCCAGGTGAGGGCCCAGCTGGCTCACAGGCGCCCCTCCTGCAGCCCCAGCCCAGCCCGCCCTGAGCCTCACGCCCCCTCCCTGTACGCAGGTAAAGGACATTCGCAGTGACATGGAGGAGTCAGACCCGAGCGACAGGGAGGCTGCCCCGGAGGGGCCTCAGCTGAAGAACGGGGCTGCCGCCGTCGACGGGCCTCGGAGCCGGGCGGTCGGGCGGCTAGCCAATGGGCACACGCGGGCCACGTAGCCTGCCCCGGACTGGCCGTGAGGGGCCGCCCCATGTGCCCAGGGGCGGCCCTTAGGCCAGCTCTGCAGAGACAGGGAGGGCCCCACCCGAGGCCGGGGGCCTGGGGCCGGGCTAATGATCTGTCTGCAGCCCCTTCCTTCTGCCCCACCCCCGCTCCTTCCCTTGGGCAACCGGACAGAGCTGGGGGGTGGGGGTGGCAGCTGGACGCTGTGACCTGCCAGAGCCACCCTCCAGGCTGCAACCTGGGGACTGTGAAGAGCCCCAGGTTAAAAGGGGTCCAATAAAACTTGAACGGAGCCAGATTCTCTGCCTGGGAGCCTGTGTCCCTGAGATAGCACCTTGTGCACTCCGGGAAGCTCCGAGAGAGCCTGCGATTCTACTTGCCCCACTGGTGGGACCCACACTGTCACCCTGAGACACAGGCCCTCTCCCAGGGGCCCAGACAGCAAGCAGCTCATGGAGACCCCCCACCACCACCACCCAACTCCCAGCCAAGCCGCCCCCTTCAACCCTGGAAGAGCGTCCAGCCAGCCACACAGAGCCAGCCCATGACTCAGGAGGCTCAGCCCTTTGCCAAGGGTCACACGGGTCCGAGGCCCGGCAGGTGTCCCACAGCCCCTGCTCAAGCCTGGCAGAAGCACTCCCTCGTGGTCCCTAGGGCCTCCCCGGAGTGGAGGTGGGGGCTGGGGGGTGCATCCCTGCAGGCTCCCCAAGGGTCTGCCTGGGCGCAACCACTGGCTCTCAGGGGGCCCTGCAGGGAGGTACCCCGTCCCTTTGGGACAGGCTGAGGGGCCTGTGTCCCCTGCCCCAGAAATCCCAGCCACCAGGCCCCACAGCAGACCCTTCAGGGAGTCACCAAGGAGGAAGCGAGTCATAGACAAAAGCAGTAGGTGGCAGAGGACAGGGTGAGATGCAGGGAAGAGGCAGTGCGTCCCAGATGGAAGACAGACCCGACGGAGGAAGAAAACGGGGCTGAGAGGGGCAGGTCAGAAGAGGAATGGCTGGAAGCAGAGACGGAGGAGGAGCCGGAACAGCGGGAAGACCGGCGTCAGGAAGGGGGTGGGTTGGGGCGGGGCCACCGTCTGTCCGTTTCCACAAGGGGTGATGGCATGGGTGCCAGAGAAACAGAAGGCGTGCAGGCAGCAGGGGCACGAGGCTGGAGGAGGGAGCAGAAAGGGCCTGGGGAGAGACAGGGCGATGGCAGGAAATGAAAAGAGGGCAGAGGAGAGAGAGACCAAGGGAGAAAGAGAAAAGAATTTAGGAAGAGAGAAGCCGACTCAAGGGAGGCGTGGCATGGATGCGGGTCCACAGGAAAGACGCAGATGGCCTTGAAGCAGGTGAAAGGATGCTCCATCTGGCCCCACACAAGCAAAGTGCAAAGGAGGGCCACGTGGAAATACCAGTCCTCACCTGCTTTCCTGGCGGAAGGACAGAGCATCGCGACTCTGTTGGTGAGACTTGCAGGGAATGTGGGCCTCTTATGCTGCCCCTCTCGCCCCAAAAGTCAATCTGGTAATAACTACAAATACAAATACTTCTCCTTTTTACCCCTAAAGACAAATCTAGATATTCCGAGCATGCCTACAATCAGTAGGAAAAGGACAACTGACCTAAAATAGGAGCAAAAGACACATCGGACATTTGCAGAAGAGAAGATGCTCATTAACATACAGAGACACGATCTCCATCCTCAGGGAAATGCAGAGCAAGACTGAGACACCGTTTGAGACCCATTCGATTAGCAAAAATGAAACGGGACAAAGCAAGTGTTGGAGAAGATAAGGCTCAATAAGAATCTCGCTCAATAAGTATTCCCGGGGGAAAGCGTACGTTGGTACAGTCATTTCGGTAAACCACTCGGCATCGTGTAAAATCACTGACCATCCTTTAAAGTTCAGAAGCAACTCAAAACAAAATGACAGACGTTCATGCCTGAGCAATACATCTAGTAGAAGTATTTTCTCTAAAAAACAGAATTCAGAAGAGTGATGTTACCTCTAATTTGGGAGGCAAAGCAATGAGATTGTAGTCAGAATAAATTACGGTCACTATTCTAGCATTTGAAGTTGTGAGGTGCTGTGACAGATACGCATATTCATATTAATACTATTAATATTCATATTAATACAATTTAAAGGGGGCACACAATGAGACCACCTACAGAATGGGAGAAAATATTTGCAGATCATATACCCAAAAAGGGTCTAGTATCCAGAAATGTAAAGAGCTCTTGTAACTCAACCACAAACTAATAGATCAGCAATAGACTTGAACAGACGTTTCCAAAGAAGGTAACAAATAGCCAGGAAAGCACATGAAAGGATGTTTAGCATCATTAGGCCTAGGAAAATGTAAATCAAAACCTTAAGATCCTACTTCACATCCATAAGGATGGGTACAGGAAAAAAATATAACCCAGTGTTGGTGAGGATGTGGAAAAATTTTAACAACCAGTGTACATTGCTGGTGGGCTTGTAGAAATGGCTGATCAGTATAGGACATGGTTTGGCAATTCCTCAGAAAACCAAACCTAGAATAACTATACAACCCAGCAGTTCCATTCCTAGGTACAGACCCCAAAGAATTGAATGTTCATAGCAGCGTTGTTTGCAATAACCAAAAGATGGAAACAACCTAAATGTCCAGCAATGGGAGACTGGGTAAATAAACCACAGTCTATCCATATAAAGGAATCCTATTTAGCCAGAAAAAGGAAATAATGGATACACACTACAAACATAGGTGAACCTGAAAAACATTACAGGATGCAGAAACACACTTCATGGCTCCTTTTATATGAAATATCTAGAATAGCTAAACCTATAAAAATAGAAGGCAGATTGATAGCTGCCAGGGTCCTGGAGGAAGGAAGGAATAGAGAATAATTGTTTAATGGATGGAGGTATTTTTTAGAGTGAATCTTATCCCAAATTTCAGTGAGAACAAGGGCAGGAAAGGGGCCTGCAGGATTTGAACATGCAAATCACTGGAGTGGAGTTTTTTAAACGTGGGAAAACATAACGGATTGTTATTCAGTCTTAAAAAGGAAGGAAATTGTGACATGCTTTGATGTAAATAAACTGAGGACATTACACTAAGTAAAGTAAGCCGGACACAAAGGGCAGATCCCGTCTGATCCCACTCCCAGGAGGTCCCTAGAGGACCCACATCCACAGAGACAGAAAGGGAGGGGGGTGGGGAGTGAGTGTTTCGTGGGGGCATAGCTTCAGTTTGGGGAGATGGAAAGTTCTGCCGATGGGGGAGGTGAAGACGGCGGCACGACGTGTGAAAGTGATTCATGCCCTGAGCTGCGCACTTAGACATGGTCAAAACGGTAAATTTCATGTTATGTATATTTTGCAATTAAAAAACCACGTAGGTGAAGGTCACTTGGTGGAAGGCGAGCAAATGGATACACGCTGGGAACGCTGCCAAGCAAGCAGGTGGCGGAAACCCAGGGCTGGGTGGGAATCAGGTTGCAGGGAGAGCGCCACCTACTGGCAGCTCTCTGCATTTTCAAGGGGCTGAAAATTCCCCGGAGTCTGGGAGCCACATTTCCTCAAACATACCTCCATTCCCGTTTACCAATCATCCTGGCAGAACGGAGGGCATCAGCGAGAAAACAGGAGCCGGCGGAAACACTTCCACGGCCACCACCGCCCCCGACCTGCCGACCTGCCAGCCCAGCCTCCCTACCTGCTGCGGTGAGGAAACCCCTTGCCGTGAATGCAGGCAAACCGCTCCCCCAGCTCCTGCCCCACCTTTCTCCCTGTACTGGATTATTCCCACCAGCACGCAAAGATGCTGATTCATTTGCCATCTGGGTTTTTGGTTGGGTTTTATCGTTGAGGTGAAGTCCACGTAACATAAAATGAACTATTTAGAAGTAACCTTCGATGGCGTTGCATATACATGTATGATAAGATGCTGCCCATCAGTTATCATCCGGGAAATACAAACGGAAGCAACGAGAGACCATCACACACCTATGGGAATGGCCCCAAGCCGGACACCGACACCACCGAATGCGGGCACGGATGGGGAGCAGCAGGGACTCTGTTCATCGCTGGGGGAACGCAAACTGTCCAGCCGTTTTGGAAGGGAGTTCGGCCATGTCTTACAAAGCTAAACATACTCTTACCATAGGATGCAGCAATTGCACCCTGGCGTATTTACACCAAGGAATTGAAAGCTATGTCCACACAAAAACCTGCACACAGATGTTTCCAGCAGCTTTATTCACAAATGCCAAAACTTGCAAGCAACCCGGATGTCCTTCAGTAGGTGAATGGATAAACGGTGGGACATCCAGACGGTGGGATTTTACTTGGTGCAAAAAGGAAATGAGCTCTCAAGCCCTGAGAAGACAAGGAGGGCCCTTAAAAGCCTATTACTGAGTGAGAGAAGCCACTCTGAGAAGTCCACCTGCTGTAGGGTCCCAACTGTGGGACACCCTGGGGAAGGCAAGACTATGGGCACAGTGGCTACCCGGGGCTTGGGGAGGGAGTGGGGAATAGGTGGAGCCCAGCGGATTTTTAGGGCAGTGGAAATACTGTATATGATGTCATTATGAGCGATCTATGCCACTCATTTGTCCAGACTCACAGAATGTACACTGTCAATGATGAGCCCTCATGTCTTCCATGGGCTTGGGGTGATGATGTCCGTATAGGTTCATCAAGCGCAACAGAGGGACCCCTCCAGGGGGTGGGGGGGATGTTGATAATGTGGGTAGGAGGTGTATGGGAACTCTCTACTTTCCTTTTCTTGTTGCTGTGAACCTACAAGTGATCTTAAAAGAGTCATTAAAAAATGTTTTCATCATCCCAAAATAAAACCCTTTACTCGCTAAGCAGCTGCTTCTCATTCCCCCTCCCCCAGCCCGACAACCAGGGGCCTGCTTTGTCTCTGCGGATATTTCATAAAATGGAATCACGCGCCATGCACCCTTAGTGTCTGGCTTCTCTCACTGAGCACAATGTCAAGGCTCATCTGCATTGTAGCAGGTGTCAGGGTGTCCTGTTTATGACCACATAATATTCCTGCATACGGACAGACCACCACTTATGTATCCATTCCCCCATTGGCAGATGCCTGGGTTGCCCCCGTCTTTTGGCGTTTGTGAATCACGCTGCCATGACCATATTCATGTACAAGTATTCGTTCAAATACCTTAGTTCTTCTGAGGCACGCCGTAGGCATGGAATGGCCATGTCATAGGGTAATTCTATGCCTAACTTGAGGAAGCACTGAATTGTTTTCCACAGTGGCTGCACTGTCGTACGTTCCCACCAGTGGTGGATAAGAAATGTTCTCCACATCCTCGCCAAAGTATTTTTCAGTATTATAGCCATTCTAGTGGGCATCTTCCCTCCAAAAGGAAGACATGCATTTCTCTGAATGTCCCTCTCCCTCCAGCCTTTGCCCCCAAAGCAGAGTCACCCCCACATGCAACTGTCTGGACCATTGTCGCCAAGGACCCACACGATATTAAGTCCGTGTCTCCTTCCAGGTCTGGCTTTCCAGAACCCAGCCCAGCCTGTGGCCTGCACCGCCATGGCCATCATCCATTGCGCTCCACCTCTGCATGCCTCTGATCCCCCCACCTTGTTTGGCCAATCTTGTTTACAGCTGCAATCTGAGCACCTAGAAGAATGCCTAACACATGGCGCCAGTCAACAAACCTTTTTTAAAAACAGCTTTTGAGATGCAACGCATGCTTTACTCTGCGAGGGCTGCCATAATAAAATTCCCTGCCTTGGTGGGCTAAATAACAGAATTACATTGGCTCATGGTTCTGGAGGCTGGAGGTCCGAGATCACGGTGTCCTTGGTGAGGCTGGTGCCTGTGGGAGCCTCTCTCCTGAGCTTGAAGAATGCCAGCTTCTAGGTGTATCCTCCTCCCGTGGTCTCACAAACGGGGTGTGTTTTGTGTGTGCATCCCCGGCAATCAGGTTAGAGCTGGGCCCACCCAAATGGCTTCATTTTAACTTAATCACCTCTCTCCAAACCCTGTCTCTAAACAGTTACATTTTAAGGTCATGGGGGTTAGGGCTGTGGCATGGGAATTTGGAGGGGGCACAATTTAGCCCATCCCCATGGAATTCACACCCCCCTGAAAATATGTGATTCTATGATTTTTAGTGTATTCCCAGGTACAGGCGACCATCACCAAGGTCAATTACAGAGCATTTCATCGCCACGAAGAGAAACCGTACCCCTTCAGCCTTCACCCCTTATCCTATCCCCGCAGACCTCACCCCTGGCAACCCCTAATCTGCTCTCTCTGCACATTCACCCCCTCTGGACATTTCCTATGAGCGAATCAGGCAACTCTGACTTCTGCTGCTTTTGTGGCAGGATGTTTTCAAGGCTCCACACTGGGGCGTGTGAGAAAAACGCCACGTTTCGTTGATCCAGCCAACCGTTCATGGCCTTCCGGTTACTTCCACGCTTTGGCTGTCACCATGGTGTGGCTGCGACCGTTCGACCATTCGACCATTCGTGTGCAGCAGACATGTTTCCAATACATGAAGAACTTCTAAGGTTTGACCTAGGTGTCCTGATGTTATGTGGAACGCACTGTACCTGCACGCAGCTGTTACTAACTGTGGTAAATCTCCTGGGGCAAAACAGGCGCAGGGGATAAGCAGGTACGGACGTCCAGTGGATACAAGGTGCACCTTGGGGAAGAGTTAGTAGTGTTGTAGGAGCTTTGTAGGGTGCCACGTGGTCATCACACTTACACAGTATAGAATGCTCAGCACAGTAATTGCTGAATTATTGTGTTGCACACCTGAGACTAATATACTGTTGTATGTCAACTATTCTAGAATTTAAAAAAAATTTTTTTAAGAATAAATACATTGCTAGGGGAGGCCACGTAACGATACACCTCATTTGGAAAACATTTTGGCAATTTAAAATTAAATACATACCTAGCACATGATGCAACCATTCTCTTCCCGGGCATTTATGCAAAAGAAATTAAGGCCTGTGAACAGCTTTATACATAAACGTGCATAGCAGATTTGTAATAACCCTCGAGCTGGGAACTACCCAAATACCACGGACAGGTGAAGCGCGGGGTAGCCACACGGTGGAATACAGCTCAGCAGTAGAGCCAGTGAACTCCAAGGGTGTGCAGCAGTAGGTGTCTATCTTCAAAATAATTGTGTCGAGTAAAAACCCAGATACAAAAGGTTACATGCTACGATTCTAGAAGGGTAATGGGTCTATAGGGTCAGAAGACAATCAGTGGTTACCCAGGTAATTGGGGAACAGGGGATACAAAGGAGCTCAAGGCAACTTCTAAGGAGGAACATTGAAATTCTGATGCTCAGTGGAAGAACGAAGACCCCAGAGGCCTCCTAGGGCAGGACTCTGTTCATCCGAAATGCCCAGCAAAGCCACAAAGACGGAAGCGGGTTCGTGGCTGTCAGGCTGGGGAACAGGGGGCAGGGAGCGCCCGCTCACAGGACGGGTTTCCCTCTGGGAGGATGGAAATATTCCGGAGCTAACGGGGATGGAGGTCCCACAGCACTGCCTATGTAACCGGCATGCGTGAGTCACTTGCTTAAAGTAGCTAAAGGTTAACTTCACGTTCTGTGAGTTTTTCTTCAATAAAAAGGAGGGACAGCAAGAAGTGTACAAGGTAGACGTGCACACACCCCTCTGTCCCCTTCCTGGCCTTCGCCTTGCTGCCCCCGCGCCACCCCGTCCCCTCCAGCCCCCTCCCCCAGCCCCCAGTTTCACCAGGCACTGGGACCACCCCATGCATGTCCCCCTCCCTCTGGGCTCCCCCAACATCCCTCCCTTTTAACATATGTCCTCCTGGAACATTCCCAGAAGTGACTCCCTGGGCTTGCCGCCGGGGACAGGATGGACAGTGGGTGGCAGAGTCCCCTGCCTGAGGGGACAGAGAACTGCCACAGGTTCACATGATGGGTATTTGTACCTGTGACTGCCTGGCGGGCCCATGACAAAAGTCGCCTGAGTGAGGAACGCCACCTGCCCACTGGCCAGGGTGGACCGGGAGTCCCCCTCTCAGCCTGTCCCTGGTTCCTGCCCAAGAACCGGCCCCACCTCCACCCCTCGCACACACCTGGGCTGCCTGGGGACTCCGCAAAACGCACAGGATGCACGGGCCTGGTGTGGGCTGTCCTGGGCTGTACGGCTTCGGCGATGCACCTGGGGGGCCCTGGTCGCCATGCAAGGAACAGGGACATCCTGCTGAGGTGGCCATGTGGGAAGGCCGCAGGAAAAGGGAGAGGCGCAGCTGTTCCGAAGCCCTGGTGTGACACAGCACCCTGATGTCCAGCCAGCTCAGCCCTCACAGGGCAGCAGCCACCATCCATGCGGAACAGATGGGCCACCGACCAGCCTGAGGGTTGTCTGGAGACCTGGGCAGGGGCGCTTGGCTCCCCTGGTAACTGAGAAGCCCCGTGACACCAGGGAGCCCCAGTTCCCAGGCCTGTGCTTCGGTGGTGTTTGACACCTGTGCCCGACTTCCTGAGGCTGACCATGCCTGAGCACCAAGGAGAAAAACCTCCGAACAAGAAAATCCTATTCTCTGGTCTAACGCTTTCCTGCTGACAGGAAGCATTCGGAGACCTGCACCAGGTGCCCAGGGAAGGCCTCCCACCCCAGGGGGCAGGGCACCTGCTCCACCGTCCTGGCTGCGCCCACATTCCAAGCCTCAACTGGATCTCAGCTGCCCACATGCTCTAGACCCAGCCTCTAAAACACCTGCCTCAACTACCTTCCCCACGGCAGGTGGGGTCCCGAAGCTGACCTTCACCACCCCCAGGGAGGCCTCCTGGCACACCCATTCTTCACTCTTTTCCCACCTAGTGTCTCACCAGTAGGGGCCGGCTCCCTGCCTGCCAGGCCTTGGAGCCCCAAGAGCCCAAGTGGGGCCCTGGGTGTCCGCCAGCACAAGGCTGCATAGGCCCAGCTGGCGGCAGACACCTGGTCCACCTCCTTCAAGGGGGTGGGGGGTGTCAGGGAAGTTATTCCCCTTCAAGCAGGAGACCACGGGGGCCTGCACACCCCATTCTGGTGTGTATCAAATACATTGTCTTCTTGACGCTGGGGCATCTGGGGCCTGCTGACTGACCGGAGGGACTGTCCCTCAGGGGTTCACGGTGGCTGGAGACTGCAAGCCACTCACCAGAGGAGTCTGCCTTTCATACGCAAATCAACTCCAGAGCCCACCTCGGAGCCGGGAATACTTGCCCTTGTGCCCTGGGCCAGACAACCAGGGACAGCGCAGTAGAGGCCCAGGTGTTCCCTTTGATGGGGACATTCGTCTTGAATAAACACTGCCAGCTGTGTGACACGACTCCTACCAGCGAGCCGGGTGAGGAATTAGGCCATGCCGCCTGGCGAGGGTCCCTCAGAAAGCCCCAGGCGACCTAGATAGCTGACCTTTTGGCTGCATTTCTGCCTGCGCCCTAATTCCCACCCAGGGCACCCCACGCTCAGTCCCTAATAAAGGCAGTCAGAGCCCCAGGTGCACGCCGCCCCTTGCTTCCGGCGCCGGGCCTAGCTGTAGCACAAAGGAGAAGAACCTCAAAACAAGAAAAGCATCGGACCCGCCGGGCCTGTACCTCTCTTTCCTCAAAGCGCCCTGACGGTTTCTTGCCGGTGCGCCCTCTGATCCTAGTAAGAACCACGAGGGCCGGTGCAGCCCCGACTTCGGCTCCAGTGGGGACCACGTCAGTGGGGGCCTCCCATGAGGAGCGCGGACCCAGGGGAGTGTCCCAGGCCTTCCTAGCGCAGAGCCCCACATGGACAGCGCGCGCTGAAATCACTCACACTAGCCAATCCGAAGCCCGCCTACCCCGCCTGG